ATTTTAAGCGGTCCACTAAAGGGAGGTCACAACTTCCTCGTATTAGGATAAGTAAATTCTTCAACCATAACTAATTCATCAGTAAAGTCTATATCTAAAAATCTAGCATTATATAATAAATTTTATTTCTTTTATGATATTCTTCAGTTCTTTGAATTGCTATATTTTTCGCTTCCTCAACAGGTGGATAGATTTCTTCATTTAAGGGATTTTCATAGGGGAATCTACCATACATGAGGTATGTAGGTGGAAATTCTGTTACAGAATGGGGAGTTAAGTTATGAGCATTAACTATATATATTTACAATGTAGGCCAGGGAGGTCAGGGAGAGTTTTTCATTAATTTTACATTTTAAACGTGTAATTATTGTTTGACCAAGGCGTTTAACCTTGTCATTAGACTGCGGATGATGTGCAAGTATAAGTAATAAATTAAGTAGTAAATTAGTAATAATAAGTAATAAATTTAATCCAATTTTAAGGAAATCCAAATTTAAATAATAAGTAATAAATTAGTATAAGTTTCTGAACTAATGAATTTTGACGCAAAAGCCCAAATATATCTTGTGAGGTGGTCAATAATTAAAGTTAAATACTTTTTTGTTGAATTATAGTAATTTGATCCACCAACACTCTCTATTGCTAGTAAGTCAAAAGACTGATTAACAGGGGGTAAGGATTGCAATAATCCAAACCTTTTTTGTCGCGGTTTTTTATTTAGTTGGAACGTATGACAATGTTTACAAAATTTTGTTATATCTGAAGTTATGATGTTCCAATAATGAACAGGTTAATTAAGTTAATCATTTTTTGTAGTCCTGGATGATTAAAGTTCTCATAAGCAATTTGCAGAAGTTTTAATCTCAACGAAAATGGAACAACTATTTTAGTAAAATTTTTCTTCCGTTCACATAAAACATTATTGATGTCAACAAATTTACCTTGTAAGTTATCTTTCCTTTGAGCTTCACTTATTTTTTCCAATTTCAACAAATGTGATACCTGAACATTATTATTTTTACTATTGATTTTGACAAGTGAATGTGTTGCATCTCTCGAAAGCCAATCTGCTTCAAAATTAGTAGAACCTTTTGTGTATTTAATATCATATTCATACATATTTAACAGTAATGACCATCTAAATAATCTACCTTTTAAATTTTTAACATTTTTTAGTCAAACTAAAGCAGCATGGTCAGTATATATGGTGAATTTTTCGCCAAAAAGGTAATAATGGAATTTATTTAAAGAATATACTATAGCAAGACATTCCAGTTCTGTAATTGCATAGTTTTTTTCATGGTCCCTTAAGGAACGAGAATGAAAAGCTACAGGATGCAATACACCACATTCATCTGTTTGTTTTAACACAGCGCCAATTCCAACTAACGATGCATCAACAAAAAGATGACATTCATGATTAGGATTAAAAAATTTCAAAATAGCTTTACAAATAATAGCATTTTTTTAAAGTTTAAAAAATTGTTGACACTTTTCTGACCACACCCATTTTACATCTTTCATTAACAAGTTATTTACAGAACGTCGAATACTTGCATAACTATCAATAAATTTATTGTAAACATTTATTGATCCAAAAAATCTTTGCAATGATTTCACATTTTTAGGGGGCATTAATTTTTTAATCTCTTCAATATTATGGTTATTGGGCGATACAATCCCATTGCTTATTTCATATCCTAAAAATTCTATTTGTGTTTGCAAAAATGAACATTTTGAAAGTTTAAATTTCAAGTTTTCTTGTTTACAAATATCAAAAATATTTTTAAGATGGGTAAGAATATAATGATATCATCAAAATAGTTCGTAGCAAATTTAATTTTATGTTTATTTAAGATTCTACGAATTGTACGTTGAAAAATGCTCGGTGCATTCTTCCAGCCAAAAGGTAATCTTAAGTATTCAAATAGACCATTGTGAGTAGCGAATGCTTATTTCTCAGTGTCATCAGGATGAATACGAATATGATGATATCCCTGTGATAAATCTATTTTAGAATAATAACTGCTATTAGACATTTTTTCAATTAAAGACTGTATTAAAGGTAGAGGTTCAGAATCTGTTTTTGTAATTTGATTTAATTTCCTAAAGTCAACACATAAACGACTCTTTTTATTTTCATCTTTTTTAAAGACTTAAGTTACAGGGGCAGCATAAGGGGATGAACTTTCTTTTATAATGTTATTTTTAAACAATTCTTCTATTTGTACATCAATTTCTTGTTGTTGTTTTGGGGATGTTTTGCAAGGCCTTAGAGATATAAGTAAATCTAAGGTTAACCTGACTCTCTGTGGTTCCATTCTGATTTCTCCCACATCATGTTTATGTTTTGCAAAAATATCATCATAACTTTTTAAAATTTCTTTTAAGTCCACATTTTCTATTTTGTTCTCATTTTTTATTTTTTCGTCGATATTGACCTGATAATGTACGCGTCCATTACCTAGATCTATCTTCGAATCATTTGAAATTTTTGGACATTCTTTCTTTTTCCAATTTTTCCTTTTCTTTTTATTTTTGTTATCCTTTACATTATTTTTTTCAATGATTACTTTTACTGAAACATCTTAAACTTTTATTTTTCCATTATTTTAAACCTTAACAGTTTGAGAATTTTGCTGTCTAATGTGCAAAGATAAGTTGTCATTGTTAGAATTAGCACTCTTACCAAATTGAGTAACAACTGGCCCGACACAATCAATAAACAAACAAAAATATTTGCAAGTCTGCAACCCTAATACAGCATATGGTAAATCAGTATCAATTATAAAAAATTTAGCTGAGTTAACAATTTCGCCTATCTTAAGGGGAAACTCTTAAATTTTGTTAAGTGTTAATTGTCCTTTCGTTTGAGTAACATTTATTTCTTCACATTTTTTAATGGGAATTTTTAATTTTGACACCAAATCTTTTGGTATTATATTTAATGTTGACCCGGTATCAACATTCAATAATATCTCTTTCTTTACATTCTCATTTTTACTTTGTTTTGATTTTGGACTTCCCTTTTGGTATTTATTTTCCACTTTATATCCATTTGGGTATTTATTTTCCACTGTATATCCGGATATTATTAATTGCTATTGATTATTTGTCATATTTTGGACGCTTACTTCAAACACATTATTAGGGTTGTTTACACACGAGGAGCCCAAGTGAAATTGATTCAAAAGTCCCTTCTTCGAGCAATATTTACATTGATTTATAGGGATCATTAATTTATTGGGATATTACTTCTGCACTATTACAATTAAGTCCAAATTCTTCAAGCAAAAGATTTTGTAATTTTTCATATGAATTTAAACTAGTTTCACTTCGAATTAAAGTTAATGCATTACCCTTTAGACATCTTTTCGCAAATAAAAATTTTTGCACATCGGAAAGCTTAAATAAATTTGCATGAGTTTCAAAATTTTCAAATCAAGAATTAATATTTTCATATTTATCTCCTTTAAAAATAGGAGTAGCTGCTCAATATCGGAAAAATTAACTATTAATTTTGTTTCTGTTTCTCTATTATTTACATCATTATTAGAATTTTGACAATAGGATACCATATCCTTATCAACACTAATTTTTGTACAGGTTGAATTTAAATTAACTTGTGTAAATTGATTTTCATAAGTTTTAATAGGTAAATGTGATTCAAAATCAGTTGGAGGTTGTTTACATTCAAACTGACTAATTCCATCCTCATCTTCAGAGGGATTTTCCATTACTATATAATCTTTAAAAAAATTTGAATCACATAAACAAGTTAAAATATGTTTTGCAATTTCATTCTGATTTCCCTCACTGGAAATATTGAGGATATCTGTAATTTTGATTAACTCCGAAAAATTAAAAGTATTACAAATTTCTTTAAGTTTATTTGAAAATTCTTCATTATTTGGTTCAAAAGAGAATTCTGAAAAATTTAGTATTTCATTACTATTTAATCTTGATAAATCATTAGGAAATAAAAATTTAAATAATAACTTAACTTTGTTGGCCGTCACTATTTTAATAGACGTTTGAATCACATTTGTCTCTTTCAAAAACATTTTAAATGCACACTAAGCAACAATATTATATTTTGTTTTTTTTAAAAAAAGCAAGGTAAACATAAGAAATGCAATTCAACCATGAGCAAAACTCTATTGATTAAATTTCATAATAAAATGTTTTATATCACTACTCATATCTAATTCCAATAAAATATGAACAACCTACTCGCCAACGTCGACCTTCATCAATATTTCGCTGAAGAGAGAAAAAAGAATAAATCATTTTTTTTTCAAACGAGCACTTAAAGCTTCGTAGTTCTTCATGCATATTCCTGATTCGCGGACATAACTTTTGCTTCGAGCACTAGATACATTCTTGAGCACTAAGAACTGTAGGGTCATTGGTCCACTCTATGGATGAGACACTGTAGGGCAGGGGCGTACGCAAGGGGGGGAGGTTAGGGGCTTACCCCCCCCCCTTGAGCTCAGACAAAGTGAATTTACAAAATAATACAGACAAAAATAAAAATTTTAGTAGAAATTATGCGGGTTATTATTTTTTAAGACTATATATTTTTATTTGCCTTATGCCTACTTTTTTTTTCTCACGGTATTTCTCAGAATACTGATAAAACATTTACTATAATAGGGTTGTATTTTTGAAACCAAATTCACGTGATACTGTTACGGGCGAGCCCCGATCACTGGTTCCTTTCTGACCTGCCAGTCGCGATAGTTTTCGAGACTGGCTGGCATTCGCGAGGTCTGGAATCCTAGACGTTCTGTCGTCTTTGAGACAATTCGAGAATTTTGTAGATGCGATAAAAAAATTATATGAAAGGGGGAACGGAGTACAGTGGAGTTAGTTAGTCAAACTAAGAGTTATCTCTGCCGCTTGTCTGTCTTTCGGAGCTTGTTTCTAAATCTGTTTTGTTTTGGAGACACTGTGCTCGTTGAAGTTATTNGTATGCATACATTTTTAATTTGTTTTAATCATACCTTAAAGAAGTAGGTCATCCCATTCGACCACGTTAAAGAAGCATCTAAATTTCCATCAAGACCATTCCAGTCGTCCTTAATTTTTCGGGGATATCCATCAGCTATTTTGTGATCGAGAATTCTCCAATAAAAATCACCTATATTTCATAAAATTTGATACTTGTAAAAATGCTCTCATAAATCTTATTCTCTAACTACAAGTTGTTCTGTAATGTAAGGCAAAATTAGTATTCATATTTCCTGCAAAGCATATCCTAAAATATGTCTTACATTTTGCGTAACTCACTAACTCTTGCTAGCAGTGTGTTACGAAATTATTTGTTATATTATTATATATCACTTCATATATCACTAATTTTTATACATACAATCAATAATTTTAAAACAGTAAAGATACTAAAATAAGTTATATTTCATCAAATAAATAAAAGTTAGTTTCATACAGCAAATGATTTTTTAAAATCTAGGTGTTACATTAGTATAAGACCACCTATTTCTTTTTTCAAAACTGTTTGAGTTTCAAAATCTTTTATACTTTTTCTTTGAAAATCGTATTTTAAGTTTAACTTTGTATCGCAGAAAACGCAAACGATAGTTAATTTTATTTATTGAAAAACAAAGTTAAATTTATTTATTAAAAATTCACAATGCTTCGCGGAAAATAATTATCTGAATAAGAAGTTCGAACAATTTGGTTTTTTAAAGGCTCTGCAAAGTCGGAACATAAAATATGTAAATTAATTAAACGTTCTAAAACTGCCGTTCATTCTGTTTAAACCAAAGGAGGTTCATTGGAAAATATAAAAGATCTAGTAGGAAACATAAATTATCATCTTGAGAAAATAAATAAATTGCTTGCAATGACACAGAACTCGTTTACTCGCAAAATAACTCAGCAATAAGTAGACTAAACTCCCATACAATTATCTAGTGCACTTAGAGACGAAATTTCAATTATTCTTCGAAAATTAAAAAGATAGCCAAGGCTGTTAAAGCATCATAAAGAAGAGAGTTTAAAGTGGGCAAAACAGATCATGATATGGGATGCTATGTGGAGAAAAGTTTTTTTTTCGCTGAAAAGAAGTCCAATTTAGATGGCCCAGATGATAATAATTAATACTGGGATGATTTGCGAATGGAATCTCGTGATTTCTACTATAGACAAATGGGTTGTGACTCGGTATATGGTCTGGGGAGCTCTTGCGAATGAATATAATCACCACTATGCATATAATCACCCATATGATTCTATATACGACCTGAAAGAAACTATCATGGGTGAATGGCACAAAATTCCTAAAACTTAACTTGAAAACTTGATTCAGTCGATTAAAATTCGCATTTTCGAAGTTAGTCAGAAAAATGATGAAAAAGCATCCTTTTAGTTTTGTAGTAAAGTTTATTTTAACTGGTGGTCTTATAATATTATAACAGTCACTTCAGGGGGAAAAGTTTCGAAATTGGTGACAAAATATTCATATCTAAATATATCTTTTAAAAATTACATGCATGTATTTTGTTCTTCATTCATTTTCATTATCTTAATTTAATTTTGGAAAATTTAAAGTACTTGTAATTAAAACCACAAAAATTGCGTCCGTCTTATAATTTTTTTAATACTCTATCATAAGACCACTATTATTAAGATAATATTATATTTAAGATATTAAAAACTATATTTAAGATAATATTTAAGATCTTAAGAAACTAAATTTAAAATATATATTTAAGATATATATTTAAGATATTAAAGACTTATTCCTGAGAAATAAAATTTTTAAGAAGTCGTTTCTTTAAAATTCAATTTCTCAAGAACTTTTCAACCGTTTTTGCTCAAATTTAATATTTTGCCATGTAAAATTGCATACTTTAACACTAAATTGCCCGAGGAAATCATTTTGACTGCTTTTTAATTTCAATTAGAAAAACAATGATGACACAATTTCTTAGAATTTTGTGACTTTTTGTACAACACATAATTTTTTTATTGTTAATATTTACTAATAACTTGTTTTATAACTGAAAATAATATCAAAAATGTTAAAAATTCATTTTAAACAAATTTCTTTATACATTAGTTATTCTTTCACAATGCAGACATTTTGACTGCTTTTGGACAATTTAGGTTTTCAGTCTTTCTAGTGTTAAAAAGATGTAAAAAATTGTAAACTTTGCAATTCAATTTTTTTTCCGACTGTTATTGAATAACATAATAAAAAATAATAAATACATAATAAAAAATAATAAATACATACTAAAATCTATTTTTTGCATAGAATTATCTTTGGATTAAACGAATTTTATAGGTGTGTGCAAAAGTTTCTTAAATTCGTTTAAAAAATTCTCCAGACATGGAGAAATACGCTAAAAGTAAACTTAAAATTAAGGGGTCCAAACTTTGGACCACTCTCCTGACCAAACTATGGGAACCATAGTTCCCTGATTTCCGCTACCCCCTATATTTTAGGGTTCAGAAATCCAAATCGGTCGAAAAATAAATATTTATTCAGAGAAAGTACGTTTTTGTGTCTGATTTTGTAACTTAAAATATAGTCTGCACTAATTAATTAGCATATTTGAGGTCACCCCTCCAAACCACTGAGAATGAATCTGAGAACGTGAAGATCTGATCATTAGATCAAAAGTTATTTAGGGTTGCTCGTTTTTCTTTTCTTTTTTTGCGCTCTGAAAATTGTTTCATACACATGAAAAAACATAACGCAATAATCTCACATTACATATTTATAAAATTAATCCATTTTTCTTTTATTCATTTTTTATCACTTTAAAATAATTTAAAAGCATGTGTTATGTATTTTCGGATTTATTTTAAAATATTAAAATTTTTCCTGTTATGTAGTCATATGTTTTTATGTTTTTTCATGCTAATCCACATTTGTGCACAAAAATTACCCTTAAAAAGGTAACTATTTCCGTTCTGTGTTCGTGTAGCAGCATCTATTGTACCATCTTGACATACATCTGGAGCATCATTGGTATCAGGTGATGGGTCAGAATGTTCCTCTTCAGGTGCAGGTAGTGCAGGACCTCCTCTTGAACCTACAAAAATGCAGTCATTTTCATTCTTTTGTGATCCACTATTTAAAACTTGTGATTATTTATGTATTTAAGTTTTTTTAAGAGTTAAGAGTTTTAGTTTAAGTTTATGTAAAGAGTTTTTAAAGAATGAATTAATTTTTTCAAACATCAACCTTACCCTGTCTTAATAATTTCAAACAAAATGTTTAGAGTTAGAGTTTTATTGCTGTTTAACAAATAAAAAATTATCTTACCATATAGAGCTTGAATTGCCTTTATATCATCGATATCAATTTCAAATGAAGGATCATACCCTTTGTAATGAGGAGTCATAATTGCATTTAGTTCATCCGTATGTGCAAGACCCAGAGAATGACCAAATTCGTGTGCTGCTACTTGGAATATATCGGTACCTGTTTAACAACATAATACACGTATTTAAAGAGAGTAAAGAAATAACTATTTCTGTATTATGGGTATTATATATATATATATATATATATACATATAATAACAGGGCTACATACCTGCTATCATTGGTGTATTCATCTTAAGAAATGCGGACAAAGCCATAATAAGTTATCAAAAGGCTTATTAAAAGTTAGGCTGGTGGTTAGAACAGTCCACATCCCCACTCCTGCAAAGGAGGGGGTGTGGACGAAACTTCGGATGGTTCCGGAAGATGTTTATTGGAACATTTTATTCAGCAAGAGACATGCGAAAACCTTCTGTCCCGCATTAAATAGAACAGAGATTGGTGTAATTAGGTCCCTGTCGTACATGCCTTTGTAACTCGACGCACTATAGAAAATCATTTAATGCTTTCTAATATGGAACTGAAAGAGGGACAAGATTCTAAAAAAAACTCCTGCTTTCAAATATAAATCTAATTATTATTCAATGGTATGTTTTCAGCCTTGAATTCCAAAAATAGAATATCTCTACCCTTACTCTTTAACAAAGCCATTTTATGAAACCGAAAGAGTTTTAATTCTTTTATTAATACAAAAGTATTTATAATTTTAGTATTACATCCCCCCCAAAAAAAAATTTTGGTAAGAAAAAAAATTTAGAAAACTTTAAATTTTTAAAATTTAGGTTGGTACGACTGTTCCTTTTCCCGAGTACAAATAATATTTTTTCAATTATATGTAAGAAAACAGCAATTACTTACAATGACAAACATATGAAAAACATGATTATGCAATTTATCTGTTTAGTCAATTAAACAGAAAGAAAAATGAAACATATTTATATAACTAATCTACTAAAATTTTCAAAAATTTTTCACACAAAAATATACAAAATTTTTATGCAAATGAACTGGACAACAAGTGTCATTTAATCAGAATTTAAGATTCTGTGTGGTTAAAGGGGTTATTTACATGATGAAATATAACTATTCATGACTTGATTTCAACATTTTGTGGGTTGTGATATTTCGTAAGCTTTGATACATGTACTATTTCAAAATTTTGTTCACTTAAATTTCTTTTTAATTTTGTTTTTGTAATCAGTTTCTTGGTCATTCTTTCTTTTTCCTATTTTTCGTTTTCTTTTTGTTACCCTTTTTTTTTATTTTCTCGTCAATATTAACCTGATAATGTATGCATCCATTACCTTAATCTATCTTCGAATCATTTTTGGACATTCTTTCTTTTTGTTTTTTCAATGTTTACTTCACTGAAACATCTTTAACTTTCATTTTTTCGATGCTTACTTTTGCTGAAACATCCAACTTTTATTTTTTCGATGTTTACTTTTACTGAAACATCTTTTTCATCATTTTTAACCTTAACATTTTGAGAATTCCGCTGTCTAATGTGCAAAGATAAGTTGTCGCTTTTAGAATTAGCAGAGATGATCAATCACATACCAAATTGAGTAACAACTGACCCGACACAGTCAATAAACAAACAAAAATCTTTGCAAGTCTACAACCCTACTAAAGCATATGGTAAATCAGTATCAAGTATAAAAACTTAGCTGAGTTAAAAATTTCGCTTATCGTAATAAGGGAAACTTGTTAAGTGTTAAATGTCCTTTTGTTTGGGTAACATATAAGGTTTCACGTTTTTTAAATAGGAATATTTAGTTTTGACCAAGTCCGAAAAAGTAGAAGAATTACAAATTTCTTTAAGTTTATTTGAAAACTCATCATCGTTAGGTTCAAAAGAAAGTTCTGAAAAATTTAATTTTTTATAACGATTTAACCGTGATAAATCATTATTAGGAAACAAAAGTTAAAGAAAAAACTTAATTTTTTTTGCCGTCATTAATTTAATTGACGTTTGAACCATATTTTTTTTTCTTTAAAAAAAAATCTTTAAATGCACTATAAAAACTATATTATATCATAATTTTAAAAAAAAACACAATATAAACACTAGAAATGCAATCTAATCATTAATAATATACTATTGAATTATTCATAATAAAAAGTTTAGAGCAAGGCTCAAATCTAACTTCAATAAAATATGAACAACCTACTCTCCAATGTCTACTTTCATCAATTTCGTTGAAGAGAAAAAAAAAAGATTTCTATGGCATTTTTATCTTCACCCTAAACACTATAGTAAAACAAAAATATAAGTTCTACTAATCAAAAAATCATAGAAACTGTAACACATAAAACAATAAATTTGAAAATAATTTCTCGAAACATTTCTTATGACAATTAATTCACTGAAAATAAAAATTTCAAGAAAAAAACTTCAACATTAAATAGGATCAATATATAAAAGTTAATTGTTTCAATTGAAACATCAAGCATGAGAAAAAAATTAAAAACCATACTCTATGATTTTTGTTATTTACGTGAATTATTTTCTTATTTTTTGTTAATCACTAAAAATTAAAGAAATTGTTTTATGAGAACTGTAACAAAAAAATTAAAATGAAGGATACTAGAAAAAGTTCGAACCGGTCCAAGAAGACATTCCGAAAACCGTAACATCAGCTGAAAGTTGATAGGAAATAAAATTTGTTTCGTCGATTCCAAAACACATTTTGAAAATCACAACATCAGATGAAATTTGATTTGCTTCTTCATTTTTCTTAAGCTTATTTTTCTTTGAGTTCTGAGTAGGAGGGAGGGAATGTCGAACATCTAAGTAGACCATCGTAAACCATTTGGGGTGTGAGAACAATTATTCATCGACGATAAAATGCTACGCTTTCAGGAAGGGATGAGGTTTCAAATCGAAAACTTTTTAACGTCTATCAGGAGTGCAATACAGATTTTCTTTTTTTGTCCAAGAGGGTAGACAAAGATCGAATCCTTTCCTCCAACGCTTTTTTCACCGCAGCAATTTTTTTTCCCCGGTGGGTGATTGGTATGAGGATTTTCGAAGTAAGTCACAGCCGGTCTCCGCTATGCTAAGTTTCTGAGATAGAACTGCGTAAGTTTCTTCCAAAGGGATTTCTCAGCGGAGCTAATATCCTGCTTGGCTTATAATAACAGGACTACATACCTGTTATCATTGGTGTATTCATCTTAAGAAATGCAGACAAAGCCATAATAAGTTATCAAAAGGTTTATTAAAAGTTAGGCTGGTGGTTAGAACAGTTCACATCCCCACTCCTGCAAAGGAAGGGGTGTTGACGAAACTACGGATGGTTCCGGCAGATGTTTATTGGAACATGTTATTCAGCAAGAGACATGCGAAAACCTTCTGTCCCGCATTAAATAGTACAGAGATTGGTGTAATTAGGTCCCTGTCGTACATGCCTTTGTAACTCTCCGCACTATGGAAAATCATTTAATGCTTCCTAGTATGGAACTGAAAGAGGAACAAGATTCTAAAAATAACTCCTCCTTTCAAATATAAATCTAATTATTATTCAATGGTATGTTTTCAGCCTTGAATTCCCAAAATAGAATATCTCTATCCTTACTCTTTAACAAAGACTGTGATGTCTGGTGGCGCCACCCTCAAGAAAAGGAAAGAGAAAAAAAAATAAAAAAATTAGAGAAGGTAGGGCTCTGATGGAGAGCGGAGGTGTATGCTAGTGGTTTTGGCTTAGTGATTTAATTATGTTTCATTTTCTTTAAATTCAATTACAATTGTTAATAAATAGTTTTTTTCGTGTTACAAATTGATTGCCATTTTTTTTGAGTTATATCACTTGGGAAGCATCAGGGTGAAGGAAAGAAGGTAAAATATCACACGCTCAACTTTCGATAACCAGAGGCCAAAGGTAAGAAGATTTATGTTTTCTCTTTGAAGGAAATAAAACTGTAAAGAGTGAAGTTGATTAAAGTTGAAACTTAATTAGTTGATTTGAAATAAGAAATATGTTCAGTATAAAAGGTTTAAAGAAAGAAGATTTAGCTGTTGTTGCAAAGGAGTTAGGGCAAATGGTTGAACCAGGTCACAGAATTGTAGATTTAAAGCTATAGATAGAAAAGAGTTCACAATATGCGGCAGACAAAGATTTTGCTTCGGAACTGTTAAATTCAGCAGTCACGGAAAGATTGGAAAGGGAACAGCGCCTAAAAGCAGAACAAGAAAAAGAGCGCCTAAAAGTAGAGCAAGAAGCAGCATTACAACTTGAGCAAACTGCTTTAGAACGCGAAAAAACAAAATTAGAACTTGAGAGAGCTCAATTAGAAAGAGCTAAAATTCAAGCGGTGGGTAGAGGGTTCGATACTGGTGTGGATGGACTAAACGCGAATTCTAAATCATTAGAATCTCTAATAAAAAGCGTAAGAACATTAACTCTTACTGTACCGAGTAGACCGGAAACGTGGAATTTATACCTCTTTAGAAAAGGCGTTTAAAATTAAAAATGTCGATGAAGAACTTAAAGTTGAAATTTTATTTAATTTGCTAGGCGAGCGAGCGGCGAATTTATTAACATATGTAAACGTTGAGGAGATGAAAGAATATAAAAAGGTTAAGAATATAATTCTTAAAGAGTTTCAACCGACACCAGAAGTATGTTTGGAAAATTTTTTGTCCGCTGAAAGGTTAAGAAACGAGAATCATATGCAATTCGCGAGTAGAATTAGAGCAAATTGGGATTTCTACTGCCAACTTAGAAAAGTTAGTAATTTTGAAATGCTTAATGAATTAATAGTCAGTGACCGAATATTGAATGCATTAGATCCAGAAGCGCGAAGTTATATTAAAATTAAGCAGTTAGATACGTGGTTCCGACCGAAACAAATAGCGGAGCTCTGTGACAATTGGTTCACTTCGAAAGGTAGAACTTTTTCAGAGTTATACGATAAACCGACAAACAAATTCCGTAATCAGATAGAAACTGGATTCCCAAATAATTCAGGTGGAAAATATGTCCCGCCTCATATGAGAAATTTTAATGATAAAAATACGAGTTCGGGAAAAGAATGTAAATTATGTAAACAAATCGTTCATTTACGTTATTGTCCTAACAGGGAAAAAACGGCAACAATTCAATCAAAAAGAGACCCAGCGGTAAGTAAACCCAAAACGGAAGATAAATTAATCGCTAGAGTTAAAACTAAGTATATTGACCCGAATTCAATTAAATCTCAACCCTTACAATATGAATACATTTATTTGGGAGGAAAAGAAATTAAAGCCCTCATTGATAGTGCCGCAGACATGCCAATTTTAAATTCCAACGAAATTCCGTTACATTTAAAAAATAATGATTGCTTGAAAGTTCATTTAATATCAGCATTTGGAGAAAATATAGTAGCGGATTTACAAGCGTTTTCGATTTCATTAAAATCTGAATATCCTAATAATTTAAGCAGTAGTGCAGATGTATTATTTTCAGTAACAGACAAATTAGTCGTTCTTGCATTTTGACGCCAGTAGTATAATATCCTAATAATTTAAGCAGTAGTGCAGATGTATTATTTTCAGTAACAGACAAATTAGTCGTTCCTTGCATTTTGACGCCAGTAGTATATGAGATGTTGAAGCCAGCGAATATTGATGAGGGGGAAAACCAAAACAATCTTCTAACTTTGTCGCCGTTACGTCATGAAAGGAAAGAAATATCAGAGGGTGTGTCTGGGAACGCAGAGATGTTTATGTTAATTTATAGATGTTATGTTAAAGGGTTCGGAAAGTGAAAACAATGAATTAATGATCTGTTGCGGCGTTGAATCTGAAAATCAAAATAAAGAGGAAAATATGGGTCAACTTTCAGAGACGGAGATATTTAAAAAACAGCAAAGGGATTGTGATACTTTACGTGAAGCATTTAAAGATGCGAAACAAAATAAAAAAAGATATTTAATCATGGATTGCTTACTTTATCACCAAGAAAAAATTTCAGGGGACCAGGTAACACAATTGGTTGTACCAAAGGTAAAAAGGGAACAAATATTAAAATTAGCACATGAATCAATTTTTTGCAGATCATTTGGGCATGAGAAAAACAAAAGAGCGGATTCGTCTTTCATTTTATTGGCCAAATATGTCAAAAGAAATAGAGGAGTATTGTAGGAGTTGTAAAGATTGTCAGTTACGGAGTAGGGAGAGGGAGTGATCAAATACCTATTACTCCGATCAATCGACCTGAATTTGCGTTTGGCCAGGTAATATGTGACATTATCGATCCGATAGATCCTCCGTCAGCGCGTAAACATAAATATGTGTTATGTTTAGCTGATTTGCATTCTAGGTGGCCTGAGGCAGTACCTTTAAAAACGATAACAGCAAAAGCTACTTGCGATGCGTTATTAGAAATATTTATGAGAACGGGAATACCTAGAGTAATTTCGAGTGATCAGGGCACAAATTTTTCCTCGAAATTAACACAAGAATTTCATGCTAGGTTGGGTACAACCCCAAGGTTTGCAACACCGGGACATCCACAATCTTCGGGCTTAGTAGAAAGATATAATCAAGTTTTGAAGCGCATGTTACACTACATTATTCGTAGTGATCCGAAAAATTGGGATAAATATATACCTTACTTATTATTTGCATATAGGGAGATTCCGAAGTGTACAACCGGGGTATCACCATTTAAGTTGATGTACGGGAAAGAAGCGAGGGGACCACTTGCAGTATTAAAATCTTCATGGTCTGGGGAAATTCCACTGCCCTTAAATATAGGAAAGAGCGCGATTGAGTATCTTCAGGAATTAAAATTGAACTTAGAAAAGGCTGCAGAGCAGGCGTCTTTAGTAGCAGAAATTAAGCAAGGGACTTACGCAAAATATGCTAACCGGCGCGCAATATACAAAGAATTTCACCCAGGTGACCAAGTATATTTACTAATACGTGATTCCAGTAACAAATTATATGCGAGATGGACGGGACCCGCAGAAATAGTTGCACGTTGCAATCCCGATTCTTATAAAGTACAGCTTGTAGATGGAAGTATTAAGAACGTACATGTAAATAAAATAAGGAAATTTATTTGTAGAGTACAGGTAGTGGGTGTAGTATTTGAGAGAGAAGATGAGATGGGGGAGATCCAATCCACAACTAGTATGAACGATTTTATAAATTTTTCCTATCCTGAGGAGATTAATTTGAATCATTTAGAGGATGATAAAAGAAAAGAACTGTTACATTTGTTAGAGAAGTACAAAACTGTATTTTCAAATAAAGTTCAAATTGCTAAAGTCGGAGAACACAAGATTAGAATAAACGAAGCTGAAAGGAAGAAGCCTTACATATATAGAATTCCAGAAGCATTGAAACCCCAAGTTGAGAAGCAGATTGAGGAATTGTTAGAGCTAGGTTTAATTGAAGAAAGCGATGTTGAAATCTCTCATCCTATAGTGTGTGTCATAAAAAGGGACGGAGCTCTTCGTCTATGTATTGACTTTCGATCTCTAAATACAATGACAATACCCGACGATTTTCCTATGGAAAATCAGATTGCTTTATTATTTGAAATTGGGAAAGCCAACGTGATATCAACAGTTGACCTGCTCAAGGGTTATTGGGCCATACCATTAGAAAAAAAGAGCCAAGATTTAGCTTCCTTCAAGATTCATAGAGGACAGTATCGTTTTAAAGTTATGCCTTTTGGATTGAGAAACGCCGCAGCAACCTTCCAGAGGGTCATGAACCAAGCACTTGTGAATTATCAAGATTTTGCAAGGGCGTACATTGATGATATTGCTATCTATTCAAAATCGTGGGATGAACATTTGGTACACATTGACATTATTTTTGAAAAGCTTTTAGAATTAGGGTCTTCTGTAAACTTAAAAAAGTGTTCCTTTGCAAGAACTCACATCAAGTACTCAGGACGCATCGTCGGATCCGGCAACCATGGTGCAGATCCAGATAAAGTGGCAGCGATTCAGAAATTATCGAGGCCTCAGTCAAAGCACCTGTTAAAGAGTTTCTTAGGACTTTGAAATTATTATCGAGATTACATTCCACATTATTCAGAAGTAGTATTGCCATTAACGGAATTGACGAAGAAAAGATGTCCGGAAGAACTTACTTGGAAGGAAAACCACGAAATTGCATTTCAAAGCGTGAAGCGTTGCCTTATGGAGGCAACCCGCCTCAGTACTCCTGTGCTCGGAGTACCTTTTGTGATACAGTGTGATGCGTCATCGACAGGGATCGGTGGTTGTTTGTCTCAACGTAAGGATGGTGTACTACATCCTATAAGCTATGCCAGTCAGAAGTTGACCAAAGCCCAGCAGGCTTGGCTAACTATCGAAAGAGAGGCGTGCGCCGTCATTTGGAGTTTAAAGAAATTCGAGACCTGGATATTTGGATCACCTATAGAACTGATTACGGACCATAATCGGTTGACTTTTGTTTCCAAGAATGCACCTCAATCATCTAAGCTTCAACGATGGGCTCTGGCATTACAGAAGTATAACATTTCGATTATGCATTGTCCAGGTGCGAAGTTGACCAACGTGGACGCTTTGTCTAGATTAGAAACTGAAAAACTTTGAACTGTGAACACTTTTGAAAAGAAAAAAAACTTTTCTGAACATTATTTGTTTTATATGTGTATCTAACTTTATAATATTTTTGTATTCCAGGACTGTGTTTTGTTTTGCGAACTGATTAAGTATTGAGTGCTAAGGAGTTAACATCATCAGACATTGTTTTTTTTTTTATTGAATCTAGTTCTTTTGGAAAGCCTAGATCCAATTTTAGGTGGGGGGTGTGATGTCTGGTGGCGCCACCCTCAAGAAAAGGAAACAGAAAAAAAAAAAAAAAACAAAGAGAGAAGGTAGGCCTCTGATGGAGAGCGGAGGTGTATGCTAGTAGTTTTGGCTTAGTGATTTAATTATGTTTCATTTTCTTTAAATTCAATTACAATTGTTAATACATAGTTTTTTTCGTGTTACAAATTGATTGCCATTTTTTTTTAGTTACATCACTTGGGAAGCATCAGGGTGAAGGAAAGAAGGTAAAATATCACAAGACATTTTATGAAACCGAAAGAGTTTTAATTCTTTCATTAATACAAAAGTATTTATAATTTTTGTATTACATATATATATACAAACAAATTGGTGACGTATATGACATATGATTGGGGAAACTATATTAGTAACATTCACCATTAAATTTTGAACCGAATCGAGAAAAAATTTAAAAGTTATCAAGTTACGCTGTTTTAACATTATGTAAAGCTACAAAATATTATTCAATGAAAAAAGTAAAGAAAAACAAAGACGAGTGCTGTAGATTTAAGTTTTTACTTTAACTGAAACTTAGGATTTTTCCGAAAAGCTTTATATAAGTCTTACATCACATTGCAAGGGAGAGCAAAAATCGAGTTTATTCTCGGGCGCTGTTTATTTCAAATCCGGGCGCTATGCCGTGCACCCCAGACAACACTCCAGCAACAAGCTAAAAAACAATTTTTTCGTATATGAGTCACAAAAATATTCTCAGTATTCTGTACAGTATATGAGTTGGATATAGTGAATAATCATTTATATTGGATTTATTGGTGGGCTTGTGGACAATTCACTATAGCGGGATCCGACTATATTAACAGAGATTTGTAGTAAAATTATCACTTACCCTCAATATCAACTGCATCACAGAAGCTGATTACACATCTAAATGAATTAATTATTTTAAAATAATATGAAATGAATCAAACTTCATTTATATTTAATTCGTGTTAAAAATTGCCTCATCGCGTTTCATGAAGTATTTTCTCAAAGGAAAAAAAAAATGAAAGTAGCATGTTATTTTTTTCTTCTGAATTTCAATAAATCGCATTCAAATACAGAAACATCACTTATGCTCCATGTCAAACTCATTAGAATTGACAGTTACGGGCATATCTGATTCCGTATTCTGCTTAAACTCTTACGAAAAAGATGGTATCAAATAAATATTTATGAAAAGAACCTGTGATGTCACAATTGGCATTACATATATTTCCTACCTTTTAAAATATCCTTAATTACTTAAACTTATTTTATTAATCGAATTAAATTTCAATTAAATTAAAGAGTTAATCTTTTAAAGCGAACATAAAATGTTTTATTCTTTTCTTATCGATCAATGTAACGGCTAACTGTTTATTTCAATTCAAATGTAGACTCATTAATTCACTACCGCGCAGGGCCGTCTTAATAGCAAGCAGGGCCCCCGGGCACAGAAATGTTTTAGGCCCCTATTACATTTCATACTGTTTAAAATAGAACTAAAAAACTTCACATGCATAAAATTAAGCATTTTTAAGATATGCAATAATTTTAACAAAGATAAAACACATTTTTATAGCCCCAAAAACTCAATGCACATAAAATAAAGCATTTTTAAACTAGGCATAATTTTTCTTAAATAAATGAGATGCTAACAAATTGCAATCCTCAAATAGTAAGTAATTTTCAAAACGAAGA